GGGGTCCATTCTGAGGCTCGGATTCGGTCGCTAAGGACCCTGGGTCGCTTCCACTTTGACCCTTGCCGACTGCTGCGGCGCGGACTGGACGCCTAAGGCAAGGGACTCAAAAGGACACTGCCTGGCCTCCGCCACTGAGCTGGCCTCGCCCACCCTCCATGGGTTCCCAGGGGCCCAAGCTCCATGCCTGTCAGCTCCGCCCCCGCCCCGCACCTGCCCGGCTTTCCCCCAGCTCGGCCCCACTCCTCCGCAGCTCTGCCTCCTCCTCCAGAAGCTCCTCCTCACCCAGCTCTTTCCCGCACTTCAGCCCCAAATACTCCTCCCCCCGTCCCTCCCACCTCCGCCCTGCCCCCCCCCCAGCTCCTCCCCAGCTATTCGCCACAACCCCGCCCCTTCTCTTCCGACCCGCTCCCCCGCCCACTTCCTGGTCCTCCTCTGGTTGCCGCTCCACGCCGCCGGTCTCGAACCTCCCAGCGGCCTGGCCTTCTGTGCGCCGCATGGCCTGGCGGCTCCTACTCTGTCTCCTAGCGGCCGGCGCCTGCGGCAAATGCGCGATTGTTCGTAAGTGCGTGTCTACGTGCCTCCGTGCCTGCGTACGTGCGTGCGTACGTGTGTACGTGCATGCGTTCACCCCGGAAAGAAGGAGCGTCAGCGCTTGCGGGCGCGGCTACGTGTCACCGGCCGCGGTTCCCCGAGGCGGACGACCGTCCTTCCCGGCGGCCGCAGCCGGGCCGTCCCACCGCGCCCGCGACTCGCCCCGCCCACGAGGAGCCAGGACCCGCCGCGCCCGCGGACGGTACCTCCGGGCGGGAGTTTCCCGGGATTTGCGTCGGGGAGCGCGCGCGGGGCGGCCGAGGCTGCACCTTCCTGTCCCCTCCACCGCCGCCGTCCCCGCCCGCCATCCTTCCACGTGTGTGTCCCGCGATGCGCTGGTCCACACGCACCTGCCGCCCGCGGTCCTGCCCTCCCGCCTCCCGCGGGCACCGCCCCCACCCCACCCCCTCCCCGCTCAGTGGGTCTCAGCTGCTTGTCCGCGGCTCCCCTCTCGGTGGGGCCCACCCAGGAGTCCACTGAGGGTCACGGGCTGCGGGGCTCTCCAGATCCTTCCTTCCCGCGTGGCACTGTGAGGAGAGGTGTCGTTTTCTCCTGTTGGATGCGGGAGCTGCTGGGCTGTAAGGTCACCGTCACTCCTGTGGGATGGGCTTCTGTGCTGTGCGCTGAGGCATCGTGGGGTCCCCGACCCAGCCGGGCGGGGACAGGGCCGTTGCCTTGATGAGCAGAGCCAACCCTCAGGGAGGCGGCACGTGTGTTTCGCATCGGTTGGGCCCTCCTGGGTCCTGGTGGTCTCCGGTCCCTGCCGAGAGGAAGACCGCTGTGGTTCCTTGGCCAGCATTGCTGTCTTGTGGCTGATGACTTTTCTCCTTGTCCCTCTGGTTCTCGTGCAGGTGAAGGCACCCAGACAGGTGGAAGAGTGTTCTCTCCTCTGGCCACCAAGCAGGCACCCTCTGCGTCGAGAGGTAGGAGGGCACTCAGCCGTCTCCTTCCCGAGGGACTCTCCCCAGGGATTCCGCCCGCACGCTTCGGGTCCCACGGTTGTGATCTGGTGGCGCCCGTGAGGAAGGGGCTGGCTGAGAAGCCGAGTGGCGGAAACCGCGGGCAAGCCTGGGATCCAGTCACACACCCCAGTAGGAGCCAGAGAAACGGCCAGGCCCCAGGGACTGGCCAGCCTCCCTCGTAAGTAACCCAAACGCAGTGAGGAGGGCGACCCTTTGTCGCCCATCAGGTTGGCAGAGGTTAGGCGGGGTGATGATGCTCGGGGGCCCGCCAGTGCGTGAGGGCACGGCAGCCTCGCCCATGGCTGGCAGAGCGTATGTACGTGGAGGAGCCTTTGCGGGAGGCCGTTTGCGGGCGTGTGTCAGCATCTCGGGATGTGTGCCGTGTGACGCGGGCCTCCTCCGACCGGGGGCTTCAGTTAGCGAGCGTGTGGTCGCGTTGAGTGTCTAGAGGGGCAGAAAGTGCCAAGCAGTCCGTGAGTCCCCATCGGCAGGGGGAAGAGTCAGTAACCTGTGGGACAGCCGACGACGGGGTACCGTGTGGGTGGTGAAAATAGGACAGATGGAGACGCAGAGACGTGAAGCAGTGTTCCCGAGGTGCTGTGAGCGGAGAAGTCATCCCCCAGCCCCGCGTGGAGAGGGGTCCAGGACAGGGCTGACCCTCTGTGATCGCTTGCCCGGGCAGTCGTGTCAGAGTCCCACGGTCTGGGTGGCTTGAACTACAGAACGTATTGCCTTGCGGTTCTGGAGGCCAGAAGCCCGAGATCGAGGTGCCGCTGATGGTGGCTCTTGTGAGGGCTGTGGAGGGAATCTGTCCCATCCCGCCCCCCTCACTCCCGGGGCTTTGCTGGCTCTCCTGTGTGCCGGCCTGTCTCCATCTGGCCCCTTTTTATGGGGACATCAGTCCTGTTAGAGGAGGGTCGACCCTAATGAGCTCATCGGACCGTGATCACCCCTGTGAAGACCTTTGCTTTGTAGGTAGGGTCACACTCTGAGGAACTTGGGGTTGAGATCCCAGCACGTGAATTTCAGGGGCACGGTGTGACCCCTAACACTCTCCAAAGGCTCTGAGGTAGGAGCACACGTGGAACGTTCCAGGGGCCTTCATGGCTGCAGGGGGCGGATCCAGGGGCGAGGAGAGCAGGCAGCCAGGGGGAGGAGCCAGACCATGTGGGGCCTCATGGGCCCTGGAGAGAAATGTGTCTCCGCTGTGCTCGGGGAAGGAAAGCCCTGGCAGGTCCTGGAGTGGCTGCCTTTGCGGCCTTGTCCCCCGTCCTCACAGCCACGTGGAAGTGGAGGCTCCGTGCGGTGCCGTGACCCGGCTGACTTTCAGGCCCGCGGCTCCCCCGCTCCTCTGTCCTCAGCGAGCAGGGACCCTCCCCCCACCCCCAGGTACGAGGAAAGCAGGCGAGGACGGGGGTGCGTGGAGTCAGGTCCCCTGGAACCACGCGCTGTCTCTCTATCTTTCGGCGCCTCCTCAGCTGCAGAGCGGGGTGACGGTAACCTCCGGGGTTATTTGAGGATTGAATTCTATGATCCCTGGATGGTGCCCGTCCCAGGTCCTGGCGTGGAGACGGAGCGCGCACCAGTGCCAGTAGTTCCTGCCGTCCCGTGTCCTTTCTCGGGCTCCGGGCCGGGGTGGAAGCGGTGGTGCAGGAAGGGGTGGGAGGAGGGTGGCTCCCGAGGCGCGCGGGGAAGAGACACCTGGCAGGGCCATGTGAGAGCCAGGGCGTCCCCAGGGCCGAGCCAAGGTTGGTTGCCGAGGATTTGCACTCAGCAGCCCTGGGGTAAGATGGGGGATCCGCAGAGCATGGGCAGCGGCAGGGCCAGGGAGCTGCGGGGCCGGGGGCAGGGGAGAAGCCAGGCCCAGGACCGTCCCTGTCTGTGCCGGGAGAGGGCCAGAGCCCGGCCACTGGGCTGTGAAGCCAAGGGGCCCGCCCTCCCTCCCTCCCTCCTCTCTGCCGCCCGGGGCCCAGTGCCCTCTGTCGTGGAATTGCCCACACGCCTCTCTCTCGCTGTCCCGGCCTCCCCTGCGAGCTCCCCGCGGACTCCATCTGATGGACGGATCCCCCCCGGTCGGCACGCCCTGTCAGCTGACGGCGCGGAGACGGACGGAAGGGGCTGGCGCCCGGGGGCCCCACGGGACTGAGGTCGGGCCCACGGGTCATGAGCTCGGAGGCCGGCACGTCAGGCTGCTTGACCGTTCGTTCCGGTTCTGTGTTTCCACAGGCGCGTGAGGCCCTGGGAGCTCTGGGAGATGAAGTTCGGCTGCCTGTCCTTCCGGCAGCCTCATGCGGGTTTCGTCTTAAATGGGGTGAAGACCCTGGAGACGCGGTGGCGGCCCGTGCTGAGCGGCCACCGGCACCGCACCCTGGCCGTCCACATCGCGCACAGGGACTGGGAGGACGCGGCCTGGAGGGAGCTGCTGGCCGAGAGGCTGGGGATGAGCCCCGCGCAGATCCAGGCCTTGCTGCGGGACGGGGAGAAGTTCGGCCGCGGAGTGATAGCCGGCAAGTGACGATCGCCTCCCGGGGCCGCCCCCCAGGGTCTCACCCGGGGCTTTGGCGCCTCGTTTTCTTTTGAACCGGTCGGTGTGGGGTTAGGGTTCGTTTTCCTGAGGCACCTCGCCTTTGGAGGGGCCGGGAAGGTCCCCTCCCCGCCACTCTGGGCCTCAGTCCCCCTTTGTGCTCTGAGAGGCAGAGGCGGGGCCGGCTCTGCCCGTGGCGCTCGCCTCCGTGTGTGTACGTGTGCGCGCGCACGTGTACACGCGTGCGTGCGTGTGTGCGCCGTGGCAGAGCCCGCGGGAGGCAGCACGGCAGCCAGAGCTGCGTGTGAGGGGGACCTGGGGACTCGGGCTGCCCGCCCGGCTTCGCGCGCCCGCCTCACCCCCCGCTGCCCGCGGCATCCTGAGGAAGTCCCCTAAAGCCCCCGGCGGGGGGAGGTCCCGCATCAACCGCTGGCCCCCGGTGGATCGCTCAGGGACCTGATTGCCCGTAGGCTCCCCGCAGCGGTGGCCCGGGGCCCTCGTGACCTGTACCTGCTGCCCGCAGCGGTCGGGCCTCGGTGGGGTCGTGGGGGACCAGGCCTCTCCTTTTCATTGCTCTCCTTCCCTCCCTCCCTCGGCCTCGCCCCGAATTCCCTGAACCGAGGTTGGCGGGCGGGAAGTGCTCGGCCAGAGGGACCCAGTTCACCCCGGATCCCCTCGATGACGTGGTCTTGGTCTCTAGCGGTCGTGACTTTGAATCACCTTGTTCTCCATCTGTGTGCTTCTGTCTTTGTGCACAGGGCTGGTTGACATTGGGGACACTTCACCGTGCCCAGAAAACTTAGGTCCCGACGAGGTTGCGGAGCTGGAGAATCAAGCCCTGCTGCGCAACCTGCAGCAGAAGTACCTGACTGCGCTTGCCAACCCCCGCTGGCTGCTGCAGCCTGTCCCCGGGAGAGGCGGGAAGGACGTCTTCCAGGTGGACATCCCCGAGCACCTGATCCCCTTTGGGCAGGAGGCCTGACCAGACTGGGCTCTCGAGAGGAAGGTGCCCGAGAGACCAGCTCACTGTGCCACCGTCCACTCGCCTTCACGCCCTGGACGTGCACGTCTGGTTCGGTCTGAATCGGCCCTGCCCCGGGGAGCGCTGCCCGCTCCGTGCTGTTCGCGGAAGCAGACGTGCCCACCTGGTGCAGGGACAGGGGTTGGGACTCTCCTCGTGCGATGCCGCTCTGGGCTCAGCAACAGAGTCTCGAGGACTTTGACCTTTAGGAAAAGATGGCGGTGCCACTCGTTTTGGCCCTACTGGTTCTGGGTGGTTGAGAGAAATGTGTTTTGAGGGGACCGGTTAGCGTTTTCCCCTCTTTGTCCTGGTCAGAACTCCCAGATGTTTGGACCGCGTCTGGGGAACGAACGACGGGGGAAGGCCGGTGGCGGGCCTCGTGCACGCGGGAGAGGACCGCAGGGCCAGAAACAGGGCGCGGTCTGTCCTTGCAGGTGACCCTGGCCCTGTTGTAAAGCGTCCCTTGGCTCACGAAGCGTGTGTGTTAGACGTGCTGCCCGGCCACTTCACGTCCGAAGACAGGCTCCTAAATACAGCTCTGACGGCAGATCACTTTGCGGGCTGGCGCTTGCTCTGTGGAAGTCTCTTACTTCTCTGTGGGGTTTGGGGCCATTGGTCAGCAAGCTTTCTAGGGGTTGTCACCTGTGAAGGTGCTGGGCTTTCCCCCAGGTGTCGGCTGGAAGGGCCCCTCTCTTCTGAGGCAGACGGCAGCGTGCACGCCTACCTTGGTGGGTGGGGTGGCCCTCCTTTCCGGCGGGCCCCTTTGGGAGGCCCCTGGATGGTGCGCTGGACACACGCTCAGCTGCGGGTCAGAAACTTCTGGCCTCGTAGGGGGCCCCAGGAGGAGGCTCCTTCTGCTTCAGGATGCATGACTAATGGAAGGGGACACCCCTGAGGTCACGAGCCAGGCTGTGCTGCCTCCTGACTAGCAGGCAAGGCCCAGGGACCAGCCTGTCCTGGGCTGGCCTCAGCGCTCCCGAGCCTGCCGGGGGTGTGGGTTTCCAGCCTCGTCGGGCCCGTCCACTGAGATGTGTGAATAGTACGGACGGTGAGAAAGGCCACAAGACTCGCACTTCTCGTTCGAGTCTTTATTTACTCCCGTGGACTTTGGCTTTTCTTTATTAGAGACAAAAATAGATTCTTGGTTATGAGATGGGGCTTTTTGTGTGTCCCCAGGGGCCTGCGAGCTCAGGGATCGCAGTGGTCCTTGCACTGTTCGCGGAGAGCACGCCTGCAATCTGAGGAGCCCCCCTACTCCTCGTCCACCTCAGGGACCTTGTTTGGGGACGTAGCTAAAAGGGCCCCCAGCAGGAGGGAGAGACAGCTGTTGTACAGAGACATCTCCGAGCCATAAGCCGGGTAAACCGCGGGGCCGGCGGGCAGTTCCCTGGTGCCATACCGGGGGCTCAGAAGTGACATTCCAGGGAGTGCCCTGCCCACTCAGGCCGCCCTGCTCACTGGGGGGATGGTGTTCCCTGGCCCATCCCGCTGCACCGCTCGTAGAGCGCGTGCTAGAGAACAGGAAAGCCTGGGTACCGCTGGGCCCCGGAGCACTTGGGGCTTTCTTCTGGGTGGTGGAATCATTGTAATGGATTTGTGGGGAGCGTCTAGTAGCAGCCAGCGGCTTCTCTCCCTCTGGGGCTGTTGCGCTGGTCCCGGGCTGGTCAGTGGCTCCCAGGTCGCGTTTTCTCTGGATGTTCTCGACGAGCAGAGGCTCGTGTCTCTGGAAGGTGGAGCTGCAGAAGATCTGAAAGGAAACGAGTCGCTTTAGCCACATTCTGGGAGAAAGTGCCCACTCCTCCCCGCCCAGCCCCGCCCATCACAACCGTGGAGCAAAGGTCTCTAGTTCCTGGCGGGTTATTCCGCCCTGGAGCGCCCCGAGGCAAGCCTCGGTCGAGGTGTTACTGTCGCTGCCTGCCATCTCGCGGCCTCTCGAGAGGGTCCCGTAGGCACACCTGCAGGGCCCCTCTAAGGGGCTGTGGCTGAATACCACAGGCTCTACTTTCTCATCTTTCCTCAACTACCTTCTCACGTGAGGAAAGTTATTCTCGGAAATGAAACCCGTTCGGCACGTGGCCCATCTGGCCTCCCCGGGAGGTGTTCGAATAACAAGAGAGCATGGGCCACGGAAGGGCTTCCTCCTTTATTACCATCAGCCTCTTCTTCCCTGGAGAGTGGCTGGTCAGGCATATTTTGCTGAGTCCGTGCCGGTTCATTTGGCGGATGGAAGTCTTCAAGCTGTCTGTGTTGAAAATCCTGTCTGCGCCTCTGCGGTGAAGAACCTCCCTCTGGAAGAGGTCTTCCTCGACGATCACCATATCTCCCTTGCCGTCGCAGCGCACAGAGGTGAAGGCGGGATCCTCCGCCATCCTCCAGAGCTTTCTTGGGAGGGAGAGCTGAAGAATACTCTCGTTGGCCACACTGTAGCTTGCGCCCCGTGGTGGCGGGTTGTCTTGGGAGCCAGGATCTGGGCTCTCAGCTTGGTCACCCTGCTTCTCCGAGCTCTCCCTTGAATCCACATCGGGATGCGGGGACGCACGAGAGGGGACCCACGTTGCTGGCTCTGCGTCAGCCGATGGGCCCAGCATGGCTGCACACAGCTCGTCGCTGATCTGACTAGCCGTGGAGCCAGTCTAGATTGGGAGCATTCTCCACCCGAGACCGTATCACTGAACTCTCAGGGCAGAAACGCCTTGGACCAGAGCGGGGTTGCACGGTCAACACTGTCCGCAAGATTCTAGAATCTCGGTAGTGTGGCAACCAGCCACTTAAGTCGCGGTCTTCTTTATTGCTCACGTGATGTCACCGAGGCGGTCTGGAGAGGGAGCCCTGGCCAAGTGTCGGGGAGGGGATGGGGAGGGGGTCCCAGGCGCCTGTCTTTTTTCCTAAAAGTCTCGAAAAGTGTGGTTCAGGTTCCCGGGAAAGACTCCCGTCTGCCGCCAGGCACCTTGTTTCAAGGGGCCGGGCCCCGGATGGGTTGAGAAACCTGATCCTGTCTCCACTCCCATCCCTTGATGCTGGCTTCCGATTTGCTCAAGGGCCAGGCCCTGGCGAGGCGTAGCTTGGCTGCCGCTGAGACCACAGGGATCACGTGGGCCCCTGGCGACTGTCCCTCCCAGAAGATGGGGCTCCCTAGCGGGCTGGTTGGCCTGGCCTGAGTCGGTGCCCACCCCCCCCACCCCCATCCCCCTTCCGGCTCTGGTCGCTTGCAGCTGCTCCTGCCAGCTGGTCGGTCCCGCTCAGATGGGCCCAAACAAAGAGTCCTGATTTCCTGCCTCCCAGGTCAAGCTGTCCCCAGAGTAGGGCTGTGCGCGACCTCACATTCAACTCGAGTGTTCCCCAAGCACCTCGGACACAGCCCTGCCCACGATGCCGCGTGGGAGGGCATAGCCACGTGCCCTCCGCTGGGCATCGAGCCTCCTTTTGGGCTCTGCCTGCCCCCAGACCTCATCCCTGTGCGGATCACAGAGGGATTGTCTTCAGCGTCCATTTCTTCCCGTAGAAGCCCTTCTCATGGCCCAAGAGCGCTCACTTTTGGAACACCTGCGTGTGTCCTTTTTCCATCGCCTTCCCAGACCGTCGGATTCAGCCTCCCTGGAGGCTGCCTCGAAAGCCCTGTTTCCTTTCCGCAGTGGGGTGGTTTGGCTTCTGCTCCCCCCGATCCTGGCCTCCCACGTCCGCCTTGGGTCTCCGTGGGTACTTGCCCTTTGAAGGACTTGATTTGGGGCTTCGGCGTGTAGCCTGTCCCATTGAAAGCAAGCATTTCGCTGGTGCGCTCCCGGGCCAGCCCTGCTCTCCCTCCCCACGCCCGCCCCTGCCCCCGCTCCACCTCCCCGC